CAAGCCATCCTCCTTTTCTCCAATGCCTGTCATCAAAAGGTGCAGAAACACTTTTGACGTAATCTTCTGCACTGACAGATTAATGGTTTTGATGTAAGGGTTGGAAACTTTCACCTTGCAGAACAGAATTTAGCCATCATCGTGGTGGACAGGGACCATGAGCCATGTATGTCTCTGTTCCTTTGTGTGGTTTTCAGCAGAGAGGTAGGCAGCTTTTCTCTGCACTGGCCAGGGTCCCAAAGCAGAGCCAAAACTTTGATATAAACTCCTGGTCTACCCTGCACCTTGCCCAAGGGGGCAGGGGTGGCCTCTCACAGGTGAAAGAACTGACTGACCCCTCCTCGTGGGCAAGCAGGACTTTTTCTGTGACAGCACTGTTTCTTTTGGGAGGTAGTTTGAGCATACCCAGTTATTTAACAAGACTTTCACTTCAGTCTCTGCAGAGTTCAGTGATCCACAGTGCCACTTTCGTAATGCCAACTGAAGGCAAACACTGCTTTCTTATTTAGAGACTGCAGTGGCTGAGAAGACAGAATATGGGCCCTTCCCATATTGATTTAACAGGCTCTCAGTTCCTGATCATGGGCATCTTAGTGACAGGAGGGGAAAACCCTGCATTGTTGGATTAGCCAATACAAGGAAGAATTGAAGTCTGTAATGGATAAATTACGTGTAGAGAACTTTTCATGCCAGTAAATCAGAATAAAATTTAAAAACATTTACCAGCTTTTCCTTTTCAATAGAAGCTGATATGAAAAAAACCCAAAACATCTGAATGTTAGGGACTGCTCAGATTGGTGGTTCTCCTCTGCTAGCTGTAGAACTTCTAACCTTTGTAGGATGCTTCCCTGAACTCACAGCTCAGGCTCTTGAGTTTATCTTCGTTGACTTCTGTTTTCTCTCCACAGCTGCCTTGGAGGGATCACAATATCCTTCCATGAGTAATTTAGCATACCCATGCAGAGAAGCAGGGCACTGAGCAGTTTGTGGGCAGCCCCACCTTTGGGCTCAGGTCACCTCAAATGTAGGTGCCAGGAAATGGGCAGAACATGCACCAAAGGCATGGGCTCTTGGAACTGGCATAAAACACTGCAGGTGATGCTTTATAAACTGGCTTTGAAGAGGTGCTCAGGATGAGAGATACCTCAGAGGGCTGGGTGGGTGCTGATTTGGGGAATGCCAGGGTTTTGGTGTTGGGAGTTGATGTCTCTCTTTCTTTGAGGAAGACATTTTGGAAAACTGGCAGAAACATTTATTTGATGATTCATTGGGCAGCTGTGGCATCATCCCAAGGGCTCCTCCAGAAGGAATGCGTTCTGTGCTACAGAGGAACAGCAAATGTGCCAGCTTTCAGTGATGGGGCATCTGTGCCCCTGGGCTTGGCATCTCCAGTCAGCCTCCACTGCTGCTCTGTTCAGCTCAGAGAGGCCAGCCTGGTGGGGACATTAAAGCCCTGCAGTGCTTCAGTGATGGACATTTGGGACCCACACTTAGGGGTGGGAGAGCCCCATGACCTCAAGTTTTGAGCTCCCTTCTTTATTTGCATTACTGGAGCCCAACCACGATTGAGGCCTCATTTCATCAGCATCAAGCAAACCAAGACAATACCTACCTCAATTTTATTTACAGTCTAAATAGACAAGACAGACAAAGGGTGGCTGTGGAAACAAAAGCTCTGGAGAGGTGATGTGACATGACCCGGTCACACAGCAGGAGATTAAGAGAGCCAGGAATAGACAGAGGTTTCCTGACTCCCAGTCCCAATGATCTATCTATTGAAACATGTTAATTCTTTCTCTCACTTAAATGCTGTGACTGGCATGCCACATACTGCCTAGTGAGGGGATCAGAGCTCTGGGAAACACATCCTTTGATTGCTAATGCTTCAGGCTAGAAATTCTTGGGTATTAATATAAGTTAAAATACAGCTAGTGCCAGAAACTCAGTAAACTTTATTTCGGCGTATCTATGTAATTTCAAGTCTCCTGTTTATTTTGTACTGACTGTATTTCTAGCTTTCATTTCCCCACTGATTTTTGAGCATTGTAGTGTACACTTATGAGGATGCTTGGTGGTTGGGGTGAGTAGTGTGGGGAGAACTGAAGGCTTGGGTGTTCAAGAGGATGGAGTTCACCTGCATTTCTACAGCAACTCTTGGGAAGTCTTTCTGTTGCTGCTGCAGCAAAATCTGTCTGTGCTCTCTGAAGAGCCAGCTACTTGTGCAGTGACTTAGATGTTCAAATGTCCTGAATGGCAGCAGCAATAATCAGAAAGTCACTTTGGGTGATGTTAAATTGTGGCCATGAAATCCTTTAATTTATGGAGATGTTGTTTTTTCACTTGTGAACTTTGGAGGTTCATGTCAGCATCCCTCAGTGCTTGAGCACAGGCTAAGCCAGGGATCTGGTCCCTCTGGCAAATGCAGGGAGGATCAATTCTGGTGCATGTGTTCTTGTTTCTTGGTTCATAAAACAGCCTCTTAGCCTATTGCAGAGGAATGTGTTGAGGAGAAATACATTGCCTGAAAAATGTGAAATCTGGCTGTAGTAAAAGGCATAGAAATACATGAAAACAGATGGATTCATGCACCATCATGTCTGGCTGTACTTCCCCCTTTACTTTGTCACTTGTATTTCTGTGGCAGCTTTATTGTGCTGAGCCTGTAGGATGTTAGCTGTTGTGTTTTCTCTTTTTGCCTGTAGATCAGGCAGGGACAAGCTCCAACCTGATCTTACTGTGTGGTTAAAAAAAAAAAAAAGTAGTAATGTAATCTGTGGGCAAATTGCACTTTAATTCGTAATTGTGCTATGAATATGGACTTGGCTTTCAAACACACTCTGAGTTTAAACTGCAGTTTGACTTTTATTTAGATAAATGCCTTTGAGTTCATAGTGAAATGGATATCTGCTGTAGGCTGGTATTGATTTAAAGGTCTCTTGAGTGTTTTAAAAGACAGTAGGGGCTTACAGGACAGCATATTTTAAACTGAGATGCTTGGTTAGGTTTTACACTCCTGTACAGCTTCAGTTCTAGGCTCTGGTAAGAGCCAGACTGTGTTGATTTGTGGAGCATTCTTCCACAGCAGGTATTGGCAAAAAAAATTGAACATTTTGGGCAAGATGCAAGGAGCTGCCTTCAGAGCTGAATTGATGGGGAATGGCGTGATGTGAGAGCCATCAAATGATTCCCTGTGCAGGGGAACGCTTTGAGGACTTCCCATAAATGCATTACAAGAGGCCAGGTGATCAATATCTGCTTTTTAGCTTGAAAGAGGTGTTTATCACTTCCTGCAAAGTTGGTAAGCTTTGTAGTCTTTCCAGTCTTGGTATTTGTAAGGCTGCTGTGAGCCTGGATTTCTCTCTGCATTGCCACAGAGTGCAGTGTGTTGGTGTGAGCACTGCAGGAGATACTTTCCATCAGTGCTCTTCTGGCAGCTGCCTTTTCTCTGTGTGTGCCTCAGCTCTTGGGTCATGGGGCATTGGTAAAAGTTCAGTAGGTGCCTCAGTGACTTAGATCCTGTTTGGGTTCCAGACCTGCTTGCTTTCTGTGGGCACAAAGCAAAGAAAAGCCCAAACCAGGGAAGATTGGCCAGTTTTCTAGTCAGACTGGCTTGGTGGTTTGAATAAGCAGCTCAATGTTTGAGGGCTTATCTAAAATCAGGCCATGAATCTTTTGGGTTGTGTTCAGAGGTGCAGTAAGAGGGTGTAACCTCCCTGCAGAGGAGGCAGCAGGGTTGAATTTTACCCAGGGTAATATCCCAGAGCAGGGTGTGGAGCAAAGTAAAATTAAAGAAGTCCCCCTCACAATTTCCTTACAATTTACTGTGGTTGCTTTTCTGCTACCACCCATCAATTTGCCTCCTCCCTCTTTAGATTACACACTCACAGAAACATGCGAGCACTGCATACAGAATGGTAATTAAAGCACTTGTTACTTTCTGCATCATTAGTCACTTGGGCTTAATTGATCCGGTTGGTCCCTAGCTGCAGGTTTGACCTGTCCTGTGTGGTGTGCTGAGGGTGCATGTCTTGGAGGGAAGGCTCTGCTGTTGCACTGTGTGATGCGACAGCACAGCATGGCAAAGCTCTTGGAGTTGGCACTTAATCTGCATTATTGTGCCTGTTTGCCACCCCTAGCATTCCTTTTAGTGTGTTCCTTCCTGCAGCATGTTGAGTTCTGGATATGTTCCCAATCAGGGATGTCCTGTGAGGCTGATCTGCTGTCCCACCACGCTGCTTTCAGATAACACAGCACAACCCATTTGTCATCCATCGGTGCTAGAATATGATTTAGGTTTAGCTTTGGGCTGTTGGATAGTTGGAAAGTGTTGGCTGGGGTTGTTGAGGAGCAAAGTGTGTACTACTGTGTGGCTTGAAAGCTGTATTCACTGATTAAAAAAAAACCACGTAGTGATAGACTAATTGTATAATCTTGTTAGAAAATGTAGAAAAATATTTTAAAAATATTAGAAAATTAGAAAATATATTCGAAAAAAATACATGTTTACACATAGTAAGTGTAAACATATGTGTAAAATATTATGTGTAAAATACACATATTATGTGTGTTTTGTGTGTAACACACAGTGGTAAATAAAAAATATCCTGTGTGAATATAGCTATGAAATATTTAGTGGAAGGTTTGTTGATTGTTTCAGTTCAGACTTTAATTTGTCAGGAAACATCCTATTCATCTGTGATTAGTTTTGTGGTTGGAAATAATCAATAGTAGAATAATAAATGTAATTTTGTAATATGAAGACAAATTAAAACCACATTAATCTAATGCAAAAGAGGAAGAAGCTTGGGGAGAGCTAGATAAGATTTTTGTCATGGAACTAAACCCACTCGTGTATTCAGCAGAAAAGTGCTGTTTTGAGTTATTTTTTAAAAAAGAACAAAACCCAAACCTTCCCAGTGCAATCCAGAATAATTAAGATGACTGTTTTGCTGAGCAGGATGAGTGTATTTTGCTGATCCCACTGTCTTTTATTTTAACAGAAACCTGAGCTACAACAAGTTGACAGAGATTGATCCTTCAGTCTTTGCAGAGCTGTCGAACCTGCAGGAAGTGTAAGTATTCCTTCAAATGTTTTAATTGTATTTTGCCAGGGCTGCTTGTGGGCTCTGAGGAAATTATATCTCGTTTCCTAAGACAGTACCTCCTTTAGCTAAGTTGAATGAGCAGGTCTGATTGGGTGTGGAGTTTTTTTCCCCTCTGTATTGTATCTGGGCTGTTTTTTTTAAACTAATCAATGAGCAGAACACAACATCCCAATTAAAACAGCAGAGCTGTTATTGGAAATCATTGGAGTTTGCCTCCCTCGGTGTTGTGCAATGCTTGGAGGCAGCAGTTCAGCACACCTGAACACACACACAAAGCTCCTTGCTGAAAGCATAACCCTGAAGCAAGGCACAGCACCCGGATTGTGATACCTGATGCCAACCTAGCCCAAATCTCCCAGGAAACAAAGGTGTAGTGTAGTGGATAACAAAGCACTTAACTGTGCCTCCTCCTCTCTCAGACATTTGTGCTCCTTTTGGAATCAGAACAAACTCTGTTGGCAGTCTTGCTGGAAGAGGCTAAACCAGCAGAGCTGTCTTCTGCTCAGGTGGGGAACAGAGGAGCTGGAGAAGGTCTCAGTGGCTGTGCCAGCCCCTCCTTGCTGGTAAAACAAACCTATTTCCCTGAACTGCAGGTTTTCCGAGCTCCTGGTCTCTGTGAGGGCTCAGCAATTTCACTCAGAGAGGGGCTGTACTGTCAGCCCTTCACAGGGATTCCTGAAGTTGTGATTTTGGGGTTTAAAAACCAAAAGTGACTAGATTGCAGGCGGTGGGCTGAGGTAATGAGCTCGTGTTTGCCTGGTGAATCGCTGGCATACTTGAGGTTTGGGCTCTGTTTGAAGAGCTACTGGTGCCTCATGGGAAACTGAAAAAACATTTCCTTTCAGAAACAATACTGTGCTCTATCAAGCATTTTCTCTTGTCCTGTGTCTGTTTTCATTAAGTGTTGGTTCTGGGACTCAAGGAGGGGCCAGATCCTGTGATTCTTAAATAGGCAAAAAGTGGAATTCTCCCTGACTGATGCCTGCTGGATTGGACTGTGGAGATTAATGTAGCATCCCTCTCATGGCCTGATTGCCCCTGGCTCCTCTGTTTACATGAACAGTAGGGACTTGCTGGGAATCATGAGTAAGTGAGGAATGTCTGTCAGAAGTGACTGCAGTGCTCTGAAATCAGCTCTGCACAATCTTTAGAGAGAAAGTGATGTGGGTCAGCAGAACGTTGCCTGCAGGATCTGTTTCCTCAACTTCTCTTTTCACTCTGGAAAGCCTTAAATTGCTCTGTGCTTAAAGGAGAGAATTGCAGCCCTGATCTGTGAGACTTTAGAATTATCCTAACATGACTGTGGCTTAGCAATGGCTTTTATTCATGGGAGTGCCTGAAGGTGTGTGACTTCAGGGAGCACGGGGTGGGAAATGTGTGTGGCTTCTGATTCCCCAGGTAGGGAATTCCCTTGAACAAAGTACTGTGCATGTGTGTAGAGCAGGGCAAACCCTGCACTGAACAGTTACATGCTGTAAAAAGGTGTCAGGGTTTCTGGGGAGATAAGTGATGCAGCCACAGTGTAGTGGGTAGATAAGAGCTGCTTACTGTGTCAGAAAGACAGGGTTAGGGAATAGGGAGAGAGCAGAAGAGTGGGTAGGAGGGAAAGGGAGCAGTCAGAAAATGGGAGACCGGAGGGGAGGCAGAGGTCTGGAGCAGAGCCTGGAAGGCAGGCTCTGGGAAGTCTGAGGGAGGAGCTCTATTAAAAGCCCTATCTACTAATCTTGGTTGCTTTTGAATAACAGCTAAACCACAGACCACTGAAATAAACTTCATTTCACAAGGAGAACCACATCTATATTGCCAGAGCATCTTCTTTCTGAGGGTTTTTTTTTTAAGCACTTGACAAACATTCATGAAATAAGCATCATGCTGTGGCATGTCTCAAGAGCAAGTCAGTGTTTCTCTGTGCATGCTGTGCTGGGCAAACCAAGGCACCCTCAGGGAAAGAGATTGCCCCAAATAATAGATGCATTGATAAGACCTGAACCTCCCATGATGCTTCAAATGTGCTGTCTGTGGTTCCTGAGCATTACACAAGGCTTAAAACTCTGTGTGTGTCTCTCCATGTGAATAATTAGTGTGGTATATTTTGAAAACATTTTGTTTTCCCTTGATTTAAAGAAAATATCTGCAGACCAAAAGATTTAAACTTCATCCCTTATCTTCGATGCTCTGCTTTGCTTTACTGAGATTGTGATAAAGTCAGAGCAGAAATTACCCTACACTTCTCCCTGAGTTTAGGCAGTTGTTTGTGTGCTTTGTTTTGGTGGCATTTATGAGAGGCTTTTAGAAAAGTTTTAAGCCTGTGTAGGATGAAATTTAGTGGCTCAAAGTGATGCAAAACCCTGTGATCCCACTTGCTCTGAAATAAGTGGTGGAGGCTCAGGGTAGGAGCTGGACTGGGACTTACTTTCCTTCAGGACACTTGATCTTTCTCTCATCCCCTTTGGTGCCTTCATCTGGTGACAATCCCCTGGTGTCCATCCATTCTCATTCCATGGATGGATGGATAGATGGATGGAGGGTGCTGCTGTGGGGTGGGCCCTGTGCTCCTCTCTGGGGTTTCCTCAGGTCACATGGATCATGGAATCCACCAAACTGATGGTTTCATGGCTCTCAGGTTTTCCAGGCCCATTGGTAGCAAAGAAAGTAGTAACCACGCTAAAATTCCTCTCCAAACAACTCACCTTTTCTTTTCTAAAGTGCCTTTCACTGAAAGCTCTGGAGAGCTGTGCTATTTTTGAGCAGGCTCCATTTCAGCTTGACACCAGCCTGGCAACTGGACTGTAAATATTTTATATGGGTGGCCCCCCCCCCCCCTCCTCTGCCTCAGCATCCAGAGCGTTTGTGTTGTCAAAGGTGAGGGCTGGGAAGGAGACTGAAAGTTTTTTAAGTTGTTGAGCCCAGCTGCTCTGTTTTGAGTTTCCCCCCCCTTTTTTTATTTTTTCCTTTTCAATCCTTTACATAGGGAAACAGGGAAGATGAGTGGGAAATCCCAGGAAAATACAGGGCTTGGCTGTCTCCTCTGTGTCAGCAAATGGTGCCTGTGAGCCAAGAGAGAAAATGAGGTGGGAGAACCACTTCTGACTGATTCCTGACATGACAGGAGGCTGATATATGAATATCACACTTATGTCAGAGGAGGGTTTGACCAGTTGTTAGATGCTGGCTGGTGTCAGAGCTGCTTAACTAGAGCTGACCCAGGCTCCTTCTTCTCCACGAGATGCTTAGTTAAATGTTAATGAAAACATGCTCAAATAAGCATTTTAATGCTCTTTCCAGCTTGCTTTGTACCTTTGGAAGCTCTAGACCATGTTGTAATATGAGCAACAGTGAGCTATTAGTTGCAGAGTGGAGCTCCTTGCTGAATTGCAATGCATCTGGCTTTTTTCCCTTACATTTTAAGGCATGGGTATAATGTCAGAGGCAGAGGAAAGCTTTTATCCCAGCAGTGCTTGGAACTCCTCGTGAAATCAAATATCTTGCCTCCTCTCAGAGGAGCCAGAAGGGAAGTTCTGGGATAAATGTGCCACTGCCCTCTCCCACCTGCCAAAAATAGTGTTAAAAGGAAAGAAGAGGGGAAAAAAAACAACAAAGCCAACATAATTTAAGATTGCCCCTACTCATGCCTGTGGCTTAGCAACCCTCTGGGATGCTGTGCTTTGCACCCAAATTGTGGTGTTGCCAGGATCCCCTGCAGAAGGGGAGCACTGGAGGCCCGCAGTGACCCAGAGGCTGTGCCCGGAGCAGCACTGGGGGGAGCAGGGGGGCTTTGGGGGTCCTGGGGAGCCTGGCCAGGGCTTGGCTGTGATCACTGCAGTGAGAGTGGGCAAGAAGACTGAGAAATTAGGTAATTTTCAAGCAGCCAGACGAGCGAGTGTTACAGTAATTAATTGACTAATTCACCGTACAAACAAGGGCTCTTTAAAGCAAGGAAGAGCCAGTCACATGGCAAGGATCTGTTTTCAGTCAGAAAAACACTTGAAGCACCGGGCCCTGGCAGGGGACGTGGCTGTGCTGGTGGCTGCAGGAGCTGCTGGCCTGTGGTGCCATTAACCAGGGGCTCTGTGTGCTCCCAGCTGCCTGGAGCAGGGCCCTGTGCCTGGTGACATTGCTGTGCCTGGTGACATTGCTGTGCCTGGTGACTTTTCCGTGCCTGGTGACATTGCTGTGCCTGGTGACACTGCTGTGCCTGGTGACTTTTCCATGCCCGGTGACATTTCTGCTGCCTTTGAGGGGAAATCCCTCTGGGATTTCCAGAGCTGGGCCTGCTGTGGAGAGGATGCCATTGGGTTGTGCCCCCAGGCCCTGACCTGGTGTGAGCAGGGGCTGCTCCTTGGGGAAAGGGTTAAATTCCTGTCCTGAGCCATGGCACACATGGCCTTGAGGTGCAACATCCTCCTGCCTCAGGTTTGACTCTGGAAATTAGTGGAGAGCTGTGAAGTAGGAACCTCTGAAGTAGGTTTTGTGTATTGCATGTGGTTAAGCATTTCCAAAGGACTGTTAATGTATTGTAAAAGCAAGGCATGTTTATTTGTCACTCAGGCAAATTTGTAACACAGGCTAGGAGAGGGCTGTGGCACTGTGCTTTCCTGCCTGGCACTTTATGCAGTGCCTAAACTGGGTGGCAGTGGGGGGAAAAGCTTGTAAAGGAAATATGGTGGTGTATTAAAGAGTAAGGTGTTGCCACCAGAGGTGCAGAAAAACCCCTTTAGATGGAGCTTTCTGCCTCAGTGCCAGCCCTCCCCTGCTCCTCCTGTGTTCCTGGGCACAGGCTGCTTGCCTTCAACCCTCCATTTCTGTTTCTTGCAGGAGGCTGGACCACAACGAGCTGAGTGCCATTCCCTCGCTGGGATCTGCTGCTGCCAGCGTCCGCTCCCTGCACCTGTAAGTCACTGCCCCCTCCCCTGCCTCTGGGCTCTCTCTGGGGAGGGTTTAGCTGCCTCTGGGGGTTTCACAGGTGTCACACTCATTCCTGATGACTTTAATGAAGAAAACATCATCTGGAGTAGTGTGGTTTGTGTGTTGTGCTTATGGTCAGTGGTAACTTATATCAGTAAATTCCACAGGTTGAATAAAACTTTTTTTCTCATCTGCCTTTGTGTTTCAACCATTAGGTCATACTTGTGCTATTAAATTTTACATTTTCTTTATTGTTCTTTTTTTCCTTGGCACTGTTCTGATCATTTCTTCTTTCCTCTTAATGCCAAAGACTATTCATATCTTAATCTTTTAGGGAACTCATTCCAGACCTGTTTTTATTATTTTTTTCAACTTCTTTTCAACACTTTCTTTTGAGAGAGCAGTGATTGTAAAGCATGATCTGCAGAAGGTTTGGGGTTCCTAACTTTGTTAGTTTAGGTGACCACAGAAACATCAGACACCTGAGAACTCTTGTGTATTGGCCACCAAGGGTCTTGGGTCAGTGGTGCTGCTCAAGGGAATAAAATATTAATATATCAAACTATTTAGTATCTAAAGAGTGTAGATTTCTAAAATGATTTTTTTTGCATGTGTCTGCTTGTAGTGTGCACTGAGAAGGAATTTTGCTGAGGTATGCATGATACCTCCCAGGTTCCTGGGAATTCTTTATGGCTAATAGGGACTCCAGCAAAGTGCTGGAGCAGTTCAGGTGGTGGCTTCCAGCCTGCATGGCCCTGCAGTACACCTGCAGGCAGTTTTCTGTGCTCTCCAGGGATTTGGTGCTTCTTGTGGTGGAAAATGCCTGTGACCACACCACCAGCTCATTGGCCTCTCTTGCTCAGAAGGCTCTGCCTTAACTCTGAGGATCTGCTGACTTACTGTGCTGCCACATTTATGCTGTGCACCAGGGTTTGAAAAAGACCTCCAGAAATCTGATTTATGGATGGAAAGCTTGCATAGAATTTGCCATCCAGGGATATAGTTTTAGGCCCCCCAGATCGGCTTCTCTTTCTCATGAAGTCCATAAATGCTCTGAGTTCCACAAGCCCCTGTTGTTATTTTTGCTATTAATTTAGCCATTGGCAAAGAACCAAATTGCTGGAGCTTTGGGTTTTTTATTCCTGAAATGAAATGAGCAGTTTGGAAAAGGGGAATAATGACCTGTGGAAGGCAGTAGATTTACAGCTCCTCTGAAATTTCAGAGTGGTGCAGAAGGAAGGAGAAGCTACAAAGCCAAACGATAAAAGGATGGTATTCTGAACAAACCTGCTTAGTATCACTTTCCAGAAATCTGAATTGCTCTCCTCAGCTGCCGCACATAAATAACTCTGATAGCAGGATTTGTAATACTGCTGTCATACTTCTGCAAGAAGGGACTCTTTGTTTAGCTTCTCTTAGAGAATGCCACTTCTTTTCCCCCTTGCGTTCCCTTTTAATTTTTATCAGACATAAAAATAGCCTGAAAGATGTTTTAAAGTACCTGCTCCAATCGATGTTGCTGACTCACATTGGAATGATTTGCTGAGGAAGTGAAGTTTTCTCCATCTTTGGGAGTCTGTAATCAATTGGTTGGCTTCCTAAAAGATGGGCCTTTAGTTCAACCCTAGGGTTTGATAGGCAAATTGGTGGCTAAAGTTGTTTAGCCTTGTGTGAGGTAAGGAATCAGATTATATGGTCATACTGGTTTCTTCTGGCCTTCCAGTCTGTGAAGTAATAACTGGGGAGTCTGCCAAACCAAACCCAGGGTGAAGACTCATAATGAAGACTTGTGTACTGAGAAACTGGTTTATGTTTAAGTGTATAGTGTTACAGTGTATTCTTAATGCTAAAGAAAAATAAATACATTTCCTTTTTTTTTTCAGTGTTTAGAAATGTGTGAAGTGTGTTTACCTCACAAACCTCTGAAGTAGGTTTTGTATATTGCATGTGGTTAAGTATTTCCAAAGGACTGTTAATGTATTATAAAAGCAAGACTTGTATATTTGTCACTCAAAACATCCCTTCTGAATGAGTTATTTCGTCTCCAACTCTTCCTAAACAGGAGAAAACACTTTTTCTCCTTTAGGGGCTGGGAGAAACAATACTGCCAAACTCAGATTTCCCATAAAGTTTAGTGGTTGTGTGAGGGTTTTTGGGTTTTGCTTTTTAATTTTTTTTAAAATGAGCTTTGCTTTGCATTCCCTGCTTTTGGGTTTTCCTTACCTGTCTCCATCACCCAAAACTTGCCTGACCCCACATGTGTGAAGACCAAAGGCCAGTTAAGTATAAATGTAAGCATGTGAGAATCTGTTGAAGAGAGAATTCTCAAAGCTTTCTGCAAGCCTTTGGATGTCCCTGGCTGCAGATGGATGCAGACATAACATATGTATCAAAAATGCTTTGTCCTGATATACTGCCATGGAGTTTGGTGCAGTTATTCCTCGAAGAATCAGTTTGTTTGCCTTGCATGTTGAAAATATTGCCAAAGTCGTTCATTTCAGCAAGAGCAAACATAAGGGACTTGATAAGGCTTTTAATAGAACAGAAGGGAAAAATAATCTATGTACGGGTTACCAAATAAAGACAGACATTAAATGCAAACATCTGTTAGTGCAAACAAAAGCCAGGAAATTCAGCTGGGAGGGGGAGAGCCCGAATCTGGATTCATTCCGAAATTACATCGGAATAGCTGAGAGGAGAACCTTGCCTGAAATTCCCACAGCATTTGTAATTTAGTTACAGTTCCTAGACTTGGACATTTGGGAGTTGATGGCAGGATGTATTCACTGACATGCCCTTGGCTGAGGATTTCCCATCCCAGTGCAGCTACAGTGTGTTAACTCTGAAGGCTCTTGAGGAGACCCTGTTACCTGATCTGGTGGGGAAAGGGATGATGGAAGAAACCATTTATTTGCAGAACTTAGTCTGTTTATATCCAGCTTCCTCACTAATTTGCATGGAAGAACTCTTAGGCTTGCCAGGTTAAAGGAGCTGCAATCAACCCTGCTCTGGTCTGTTATGGTTTTCCTACAAATCCCTGAGCAGGCATAAGCTCAGCCCTTACTCTGGGGTCTGTCTTCGCTGCTGCTGCATCTACCTGCACATGAGTAACTGCACCCTGGAGGGGTTTTGGGGCGTTTGGACAGATGATAGAGGTGAATCCTTGTCCTCTGCCCTGGCTCCAGGCCCGATTCAGTCAGCATCCTCTGCCACAGACTTCTGGGCAGCTGTAGGGCTCAGTGGAGAGTGCTAACCAGACCTCTAGAGAAAGCCTGGCAAACAGACCACACTCTGCCACATCCTCAGCTGGCTGGGAATTAAGGAAGTTAACAGATTAAACACTTAAAAATAACTTTCATTTCTTTCACTGTAAGTCTTTTAAGCCTCCAGCCATTTAGGAACAAAGGGGACAGTGACCCACAGCAGTCAGCTGTGTGTTAGCAACAGGCAGAGCTGTTTGAGGTGCTTTGGCCCCATCATCTTGGTCTGAATAAGCACAGATAACAAGGAACTCAGAATAGGGATTTTTGGAGCAAAAGAGTGTGAAATAGGATTAGCTGATTCACAAGAAGATGCAGTGACACTGCAGTGTATTTACTGGAGAAAGCAAAATCAATAGGACTACTCTGCTGCCAAACTGAGCAGAAAAGTCTCTTGAAGAAAATCAATCTTCTTTACAGACTCATTAATGTAAAGATCAATTCACATTAAACTGTAATTAAACAGAGAGCTAATAGGAGAAGGGTAAGTGATCTGCTGTGCCCCAGGCAAAATATATCATGTAAAATTTGAAAACTAAATATATGGAGAATTGGAAACTGGGAGTGGCAGGGAGCATGCTAGGACTGCTTGGAAAAGGGCTGATGAGCTCAGATGTTGGTTGGGGCAGCATGATCCTCATGGAAAGGAGGGTGCTCAGTGCTATTCCAGCTGGATGTCAGGTAAGACAGGTCAAAGACTTCAGCCAGTCTCTTCCATTTGACTTGCATGGTTTCTTGTAGAGCTTTTCCTCTTAAGTGCTGGGGATTTCTTTATACTTCTGGTTAAGTTAGCCACATTGTTAAAATTGTGACCCTTGTAACTTTGATTTTTCTTTGACTCTCATTAGACCTTTGTATTAGATTAAAGTTGACTGGTCTTGGAAGTCCATAATGTGGTAGAATCAGGATCACACTATTGAGCTGTTGCCTCATTCCTCCACAGTGAAGGCTTGGGAAAGCTGCTGTTATTTTAGTGCTGTTTGCACAGCTTCACTTGCATTGTCAGATGGAGTTTGCAGAGGCTCTTTCTGAAAACCCATGTGGTCCATTAGATTCTTGGAGCTGCTGTTTTGCTTTCACCCACGACAATGGTGTCTTGCTTTGTGAGCTCAAACAATGCAAGCAGGATCTCACAAATACACCTTCCTTTCTGCAAGATTTCCTGGGAGCTGGGGTTGAGATCTGTGACTTCACTTCGTCTTTGCTGTTCAAGTTAAGATGTTGCAGACTCTGTTGAGCACCAGGACTGCAGCTGCAGCTCTGTCCATGGCAGGGTGTCCCTGTTAGAGGGAAGGGCTCAGAGCTGCTCCATCTGTGCTGCTCGTAGAGCACAGCTCAAGCCTGAGCTGGTCTCTACACGAGGTGTGAGCTCACTTTTTGTTCCTGGCTAGGCCAGAGTAAGAACCTCTGTGTGTAGGCGTGTTGAGAGCTGGGAAGTTTGGCTTGCAGGAGGATTGAGGTTTGAGCTGACAGTACAGACGTAGCCTTGGAGGCCATTTGTGGCCTGGGATCCTGCTGTGCTAATTGCTGTACAAACAGAACAACTGCCTTGACCCCCAAGGGGTTTAATCTGCAAGTCATCTTTGCTGGAGTTAAAAAGGGATGATCTAACAATTAGAAATAAGGAGACTACTCTGTTAATTCCATGTGGGTCGCAGCAAGAGGTTTTGTGCTCATAAGCACAAAATCCAGATGACTCAGAGGCAGCCGTGCGAGGGGTCTGGT